CCCCCTTTTCCTCCCATTTAATTCACTTTGAATTTGGTTTGTTTTCTTATGTGGCTTCTTCTTCGGCTTCGTATTGGGGAGGGCCCTTCTCCCTTTGTTTGGTTTCTGTCTTTGTTCCGAGAGGGGCGGTAGATTCCCGGTCGAGCCATGGACTAGGCTGCACTGCAGTGAGCTTTACTGGCGCTGTCCAGTTGAGCTTCCTGCAGTTCAGTCTGGTGCGCCCGCGTGCAGCAAAGCCTGCCCACATGGTTCGTTGTGCGGATGTTCTGTAGTGCCTTAGCAGATGGCCCACTCGGTGGGAGAGTGGCCTGGTCTGGAATACACTGCTAACTTACGGTGCATCTGGTCCTCTCCGCAGGCGCTTGCTGGGACGATGACGCCTAGTGACTCCTGTCAGAGAATCTGGTGCTGGCGCAGCGAACCATTTCAACCTTCATAGCTTAGGGGGACGAGTTCGACTGCAATGCGAATGCAACTGTTGCTTAAATGTCGGCAGTAGCATACTGGTTGTGCTCACGAGCCCATGATATGGTCAGAAGCTTCGTCTGTCTGTAATGGCCGTATAGTGTCGGTCAGGCTCTTTCAGCCACCTTTTTACCCACTGCCCATTAGGGTCTTGGGCCCTTTGCTATATGACGGTTCCTGTGAGGGCTCACACCATCTGGCATGTCTTACAGGCCGTCAGTACTCTCCTCCTCACCTAGGGGGGGCAATAGATCACAATCCCTTGCGGCGGTGTATATTGACTGGAACAGACTGACTTGCGTACGCTGAACGATGCAGGATGAACAGCAGCGATGCGGGAGTTGCTATATTGACAAGACGTCCATACAGGCGGCCTCTGCCGTGCTACACATCAGTCTGCCTGCAACACTGGATTCTCTTATCTGTTCTCAGGTGAGACATTCTGGGCGATCATGTGCTATATTTCACGCACTGCCGCAATGATAATTAGTTTGCATGTTTTTGAGGATGATACGGTGGCTAAGGTCACTGTATCTAAGGCAAATCTGAATGTGTTTTTTGGTTTTGTTGGGCCCTGCCCCGTTCTTTGTTGCTTCGCTGTTTTGCTTTGAGGCGAAACGCAAATCTGGCTGGGGGATTTGCGGGTCGTTTTGGTTGTGGTGGTTTTGTTGTTTTTTGTTTGTTTTTGGTTTCGTGATGATTTGCCAAAGCTTTTGGACCACACGTGTCCTTGTACATTACTGCTTTTCATTGCTTACACAATTGTAAGGACCGAGCCTAGTGCGACATCGGCCAAACGGGAGAAAAAAATGAAAAAAAAAACATTGCTTTCCATACCACCTGACTTGCACAAGGCTGGAGTTGATATGATACCTCCAATCCCTCCATTTTGAGCTGTTAAAGTGAATGGTGTCGCGATGTTTGCGTCCACATCATTCACTTCAATTTTGGGAAGTCTTGGGGTTCAACACACCCAGTGGTGTTACATTTTTCAAAGTTTGCCGCTAGGTGAACAACAGTTGCAGTTTCGATTGTCCAGAGGACACATTCGCGGAACGTATACTGAATTTGCAGCGATTTGTGAGCTTCAAGTACGGGCACAGGTGAGCAATCGGAACGGACTTATCTGACTTTAGTCGCAGTCTTTAAGCCTTGAATTTTGTTTTTTTGACCAGTAAATGAGTATATACATGCAAAAACTAGATTTGGTGGGAAGGATGAGCCAGGTCAAGCTGCAAGTGTTTGAACCGTTCATACATGGCGCTTATCCACTTCACGCTGCGACCGGGTTTGGCATAGCATCAACCCGCTATCCGAAAACAACCAAAACAAAGGCGTTCCTTGACACGCGTTGACACGTGACAAGAGCAACCTAGGTTCGGTGTAGCGGCGGGCATCAAAGCTGAGCAAATAGGTTCAACATTGGGCACCCCAAGAGAAACCAGTGCCCAAATCCAAAGGAACCATGAAGTGGCGGCCATTTGCATGTCTTTGTACAAGCCATGCCTCGCGCCTTTAAGATTCATTTGTCTGAAAGAGGGGCATCTTTCAGCCATAGCTTGTGACATGCACCAATTTTCATCTTCACATTTGCAAAAACTATTTTAGCATTCCTAAAAACATAATCCACCCCTAAATGCACATGCACAATTTTCCAACTTACTACCAAACCAATGGTCGCACCACTCTGTTTCATTTTGGTTTCGGACCATTGCTGAACTAGTGCTTTGTATGCCTGAGGTTCAGTCTCGTGGATGTGCTTTGTCGTGTTTTTTCCCCCTTGTGTTTCGTATACTTCAGCTTGAGTCTGTCTCGTGTGCGCTACTGATTCCATTTTCTGGGATTCTTTCACCGCTGCGGTCAGTTTTCTTCAAATCCGGTCTTCTTGATGTGCCTGTTTCTTTGATCATTCCTGGAAAAATACATGGATGCATCTCTTTATGTGTCCTTTTTGGGGATTTTTGACTTTTTGAACCACTGCATTTTGTACACTTGAGCTAACTATTCTAGATTGCTTGAAGGTGTTTGTTTTGCGGGATGTTTTGACTCTTTTGGCCACAAACGTTGTAGGTATAGGAGCTTCAGTAATCTTTATATCCTGCTTGGATATGTCTGTTTTGAGGGTTTTTTTGACTCTTTTGACCACTGCATTTTGTATACTTGAGCTCCAGTTATTTTAAAGTGCGGGGATGTGTCTGTTTTGCGAGATGTCGTTTTGACTTTTTTGACCATTGTGTTTTTCCATACTTGTGCTCCAGCTATTTTAAATTGTTTGGATGTGTCTGTTTTGTCGGATGTCTTGACTCTTTTGACGGGTGAATTTTGTACAGTTGAACTCTAAATATTTTGGGTTTCAGTAATTGGATTTATTTCTTTTGCGAGATGATTGAATCTTTTGACCACTGCGTTTCCACATGTTTTGAATTACTCGGATATGTTTGTTTGGCAGGAAGTTTTGACTCTTTTGACCACTCCGTTTTATATACTTGAGTTCGAGTTATTGTAAATTGTTTTGATATGTCTGTTTTGCTGGATATTTTTTTTCTTTTGACCAGCACTGTTTTGTGTCTTTTGACCACATCTGGGTTGTATACTCGAGTTCCAGCTATTTTTCAATTGATTGGATATGTTTGTTTTGCGATGCTGAAGCTCCAATTGACCATTGCGGATTGGTTTGCCCGATGTTTGCGGAACACTGCGGGGTAGGGACGGGCGTGGGCTCCAGTTCGGACGTGCCATATTTTTGCGGGATGTTTTGACCACTCCTGCAGTTTGGAAATTCTCGAGTTCCAGTCCAGCTTACTTGATTTTCTTGGATGTGTTTGTTTTGCTGTTTGTTTCTTCCGCATTCTAAGAGACCCTGTCTCGGAAACTTGTGGGTCTGTTCAGATTGCACACATTTTTTTGTCCCGGCTGCTTTCAGATTGATAATAGTCGCAGCGTTGGATCCAATCTGATCCAAACTTCTTGCAGTTTCTTCATTCGTATTATTGTATGTTTTTTTGGACGATTTTGATAACATTTGTGTTCAAGCACTGTTCAAACATGAGAGAGTGCTGTTCTTTTCCTGCCAGGGGAAGCAGAAGACTGAAGATGACCGATGAGTGAAGCTGCAACTTTTTCGCAGTGAGGCAGGAGAATCAGTGGACGAGAGGAAAGCAATTTGGCACCGTGATAAAATTTCATCATCGTGACGGATTTGCAAAGTTAGAGATTCACATTCGCAGACACTAATATGTAGTTGCAGAGTGTTGCAGAAAGGTCCCAATGGGGGTTCTTTGTATGACCTTATAGAATAGCACGCCACAAACCGTTGCAAGTGTTGATGTTCTACGACATAATGCTATACCGGAGGAGTTTGATTTTCAGATGGAGGTCAGGTAGGACGAAGAAATAAACGGTAAGATGGCTACGGAGCAGGATTGGCAGCGGGAGAAGGAAACCCTTCCGTGTCCAGGGTGAGCAGCTGCTGGAGATGTAGGCTCGAAGGCTTTGGGTTCCTTGGGTATCCCCCAAGAGGAATCGCAAAAGGATAATTAATTGAAGAATGTTCGGATTGTTCCAAGTATATATTCCTTTGAGTTTCAGTTTGGAGGGTGTTTTTTGAGGCTTTGTGCGGTTTCATCGCTCTTGATGCCTACAACCTATGAGTCTTGTGGCCACAATTTGCAAACCCGAGAGACAACTTTATGACTCGAAGGGGTTCATCAATTTTACCCAGCTTGCCTTCTGGGCTTGTCTCAAAACTTGGAACCCCAAAGTCTTTTCTCTAGTCTCATTAGAATTGCCCTTGTGATACCACCCATTTTGCATGTGCCATCTGACTTGCAGAGCGAAGAACAGGAGACAGAAGTTGAGCAAGGCTGAGAGATGCAGAACGATGCTGAAAGCCTGTTCGGCAAGGATACAAGAGAATGTGCATGAAACATCCTGAGTCCTGAAACCAAACGTTTTTTCCCGCTTGGGTGTGCTTTGCCATTCAGGATTTCGTGGCAGTCAATCAACTGAGAGGCCGATTGAGGTGTACATAGACTTACTGCAGGTACTAGTAGAGCGGCAACACCCTGAATGCGATGATGTCACCCGACTCTGGGCCTAAACAAAAGTGCACCCTGGGACATGTTTCTGGAAGGCTGCACAATCACAAGGTCGCACAACCTGTTCAAGCAAAGCATTGCAAATCAGTCATACACTTCGTTTCCTTCAGAACGTCATCAGTGTTCTTCTGCAGCGGGCTCTGTGCGCTTGAAAGAACATTCACAGCTTCAGGACTCTGCAAATCACCATGTTTTTCTCTCTCCCCTTGTAAATTAGAGGCATGATTCATATACAGTACATGCTGGGACTCATCATGATGCGGGCCGCGAGTGATTGCGGCCCACATGCGCGGTGGGTACATGGCCAGCAGGAAGCGTGGATGCTTCTTGGCTGATGATTTGTTCATTTGTGCAGCCTTTGTCGGAGGATTTCTCTGAAAGCATTATCAGCCAAGAATTGCTTGAAACAGTTTCTGGGTTTTGCAGCTCTCGCTTGAGGCATTGTATTCCTGCAGTCCAACTCTGTTTTCTCCAGCGGCTGATGCAAGAGCTTGCTGAGCAGCTGGACAATGGATGGGACAGCTGGCAGGTTCCATTCTTTGAGGCCTATGTGCCTCTGTCAGACTCCCAGCTTCTGAGATTTGTTGTCTCAGCGAGGTTTAAGAGTTGAAATCACGATGTTCGGACTGTCGTTTTCAAGAATAATTAGTTTGAAATGCAAGGTTTTCAACTCCTGGAACAATGCTTCAGGAAAGAGTGTGGAGCCCAGGAATTAGACGCTCCTCCAGCGCAGCAATTCCAAGCCTCAAGCATACTATCACCTAATTTATTTTTGCCTCCTTGCTTTCTCGCTTCCTCACCCCTCCATCCAGCTCGTGACATGGTTTCCACCAAGGACCTGGCCCTGGCGCTAGCGGCATCTTGTACATCAGAGGACAAGAAGCACAGCCGCAGAAGGAAACGCACAAGGCTTTGGACTGGCGGCTTCAAAATTGAAACCATGACAGCTCATAGCCAAGTGCATGGAAAATCCATAACCCAGTTCATCAGTCCAGCTGGCCCATGCAGCATAATTAAAGTCTCTATGCTTCGTTCAGGCGACGTCCAAAAGTTTGGAGATTGCGTTCAGACCGTGCAGAGTCTGAAGAGGTTGATGAGTCTGACGATCATGCTGACCGTGATGGTGGCATTGCTGAGGCCATTTGCAATGTGCACGAGTTGGTGCATGATGTGCACTGAGCACAACGTCATTTCTTCCAAATCTGCTGACCAATGTGCACAGCGTCTTTGTCACGTTCATGAAGTAATGTTCCCACGTGGCTCCGTTTGGTCTCTTTGATCATTTTGACTTCCCAGGCTGCGTACGAGCGACTCTGAAGAAACAACGGAGGCGTAGACATTGGGAGTTCAGACACTTGAGCCTGAAGGTACTTGGTCTTCCTTTCTGCAAGCTGCAGTTGCAACACTTGAGTGCGGGTGTTGTAATGTATAGACAACATCTGACATCGTAAGGGTTCCACTGTAGTAGTGCATGCCAGAAAGATAGTTCATACTTATGGAGAACTACTTCACAACCAGACACTTTATATTTGTTCTTTGTTTTTTTGAGGTGTCTTGTTGCAGATGACCGTTGGAGGGGCACTGCACATGTTGCACGTCTGACGAAGCTCATTTCGCAGTGGTTTCTAGGTTGAGAAAAAAGAGATGGACAAATGAAGACTTATGAAAAAAAACATATTCATAGGCATATGCCGCCTATCGTTTCGTTTTTTCCATCTATGTTGGGGCGAAAAAGCTGGATGTTGGATGTTGAAGATTCTGAACGTGACTCATCGGCCCCAAAGATTCTTTGTCAGTAAGTTCAAAACAGTAGATTCTAGTAGATCAATTACAGAGAAAATCCCAAGGTGCTGGTTTTGGTGCAGAAACCGGTGCTTTCTGGTCCCTGACTGCAAAGGAACCCAATTTAGACAAGTCCAAGCAATCTTTGGTAACGCAGACCGTACTCGTCTTGGTTGGCCTGTGTGCCAGGCCAAATTAAGGAATCCAGCCGACTCCACTTGGTGCATTTCTCTGCAAGGCTTTCCGACGTTTCCACCAAAGTGCCAAATGATGAGTCTCCAAACAGTCAGGCCGCTGCAGCCGTTGTTTTAGACTTTGAAGTGCTACCATGGCCAAATTTTCCGCAGTCAGGCCCCAGATTTGAACGCTACAGGATGAACCTGTTCTCAACAACAGTGATTTTGCGGACGACCACTCGCTTGTATACGTGAGTTTCCCCTCCCTTGTACATCCCCCACCCCCTTTGGCCACTATGACCTCTATGTTGGATGTTGAACTTGACAAGAGATAAAAAAAAAATCGCCAACCCCTCTGACCAGTATGTTGCATCTTGAACTTCACAAGAGACCAAATCCTTGCAATGGCTGAACAGAAGCGTTTTAAGAAGAAGGCGGCGCTGTCGAAGCGCAAAGAACGCGCCAAGAAATTCCGGGACGAAACTTAAGCTGAGAGCCGCTGGGAAATAAAAAACAAGAGAAACCAACGAACCCGAATGCAGTCACGTAAAACACTTTTGTGAAACAAGTTTTTTGAACAGTCTTACATTTTACCAAATTCCACCTGTTACTGTACCAGTGCACTGTAGACAGTGGAATGTGGAAGGGGTTGGAGTGCCAAGTGTCGAGTGTGAAGAAAGTGGAGAGTTGAGTGGGGAATGTAGTGTGAGTGTGAAGTGGGGATTGTGGAGTGTGGAGTGTAAAGGGTAAAGTGTGGAGTGTAAAGTGTGGAGTGTGGAGTGTAAAGTGTAAAGTGTAAAGTGTGGGGTGGAAAGTGTGAAGTGTAGAGTGTGGAGTGCAAAGTGTAAAGTGAAAGGTGTAAAGTGTGGAGTGTAAAGTGTCAAGTGTGGAGTGTAGAGTGTAGAGTGTAGAGTGTAAAGTGTCGGGTGTGGAGTGTAAGGTGTAAAGTGTGGAGTTTAGAGTGTGGAGTGTAGAGTGTGGAGTGTAAAGTGTAAAGTGTGGAGTGTAAAGTGTAAAGTGTGGAGTGTAAAGTTTAAAGTGTAGAGTGTGGAGTGTGGAGTGTAAAGTCTAGAGTGTGGAGTGTAAAGTGTGGAGTGTACAGTGTAAAGTGTAAAGTAAGGAGTGTAGAGTGTAAAGTGTGGAGTGTAAAATGTAGTAGTGTAAAGTGTGGAGTGTAGAGTGTGGAGTGTAAAGTGTAAAGTGTGGAGTGTAAAGTGTAGGGTGTGAAGTGTAAGGTGTAAAGTGTGGAGTGCAGAGTGTGGAGTGTAAAGTGTAAAGTATGGAGTGTGGAGTGTGAAGTGTGGAGTGTGGGGTGCAAAGTGTAGATCGTGGAGTGTAAAGTCTAGAGTTTGGAGTGTGGAGTGTAAAGTGTAGAGTGTGGAGTGTCAAGTGTAAAGTGTGGAGTGCAGCGTGTGGAGTGTGGAGTGTAAAGTGTAAAGTGCAAAGTGTGGAGTGTAAAGTGTGGAGTTTGGGATGTAAAGTATAGAGTGTCGAGTCTCAAGTGTAAAGTGTAAAGTGTAGAGTGTAAAGTGTGGAGTGTGAAGTGTGGGGTGTGGAGTGTAAAGTGTGGAGTGTAGAGTGTGGAGTGAAAAGTGTGGAGGGTAAAGTGTGAAGTGTGGAGCGTACAGTGTGCAGCGTGGAGTGTGAAGTGTAAAGTGTAAAGTGTGGGGTGGAAAGTGTGAAGTGTAGAGTGTAGAGTAGAGTGCAAAGTGTAAGTGAAAGGTGTAAAGTGTGGAGTGTAAAGTGTCAAGTGTGGAGTGTAAAGTGTGAAGTGTGAAGTGTGAAGTGTGAAGTTTCAAGTGTGGAGTGTAAAGTATAGAGCGTGGAGAGGGGAGTGTAAAGTGTAAAGTGTGGAGTGCAAAGTGTACAGTGTAAAATGAAGTGTAGAGTATAGAGTGTGGAGTGGGGAGTGTAAAGTGTGGAGTTTAGAGTGTGGAGTGTAGAGTGTGGAGTGTAAAGTGTGGAGTGTAAAGTGTAAAGTGTGGAGTGTGGAGTGTAAAGTGTAGAGTGTGGAGTGTGAAGTGTAAAGTGTAGATTGTAAAGTGTGAAGTGTAGAGTGTAGAGTGTGGAGTGGGCAGTGTAAAGTGTGGAGTTTAGAGTGTGGAGTGTGGAGTGTAAAGTGTGGAGTGCAAAGGGTGGAGTGTGAAGTGTAAAGTGTAAAGTGTGGAGTGTAAAGTGTGGAGTGTAAAGTGTAAAGTGTAAAGTGTGGAGTGTGGAGTGTAAAGTGTAGAGTGTGGAGTGTGGAGGGTAAAGTGTAGAGTTTGGAGTGAGGAGTGTAAAGTGTAAAGTGTAAAGTTTAGAGTTTGATGTAGAGTGTAGAGTGTGGAGTGTAATGTGTAGAGTGTGGAGTGTCAAGTGCAAAGTGTAAGGGGAAAGTGTGGAGTGCGCCTCCCACGCAAAACACCTTTCGACACATTATGACACATGTTAGAATGTCGCAAAGTACCACGCCTGCCACGTGAAACGAGGCTATGCGACGTTTGAAACCGCCAAAAGTAACCACTTTTGCAGAACTCGCCATAGGCACGGCCATAGCGACCTCATCGCGAGCGCTCGCGGACGGTTGCCGACGGTTGCCAACGCTTGCCGATGGTTGGGGTCGCAGAAGCGGCGTCGAGCGAACGCGTCTCCACCCCCAGACCCCCGAAGTAAAACGAGAACCGTTCGCTACGCATTCGGGAAGAACGCAGCAGTGACAGAGACAGTGGGCATGTTTTGGTTTCATATCTAGACTTTTTGGTTTCCGAATAATTTTTTAACCTGGATTCTCCAGTGTTTATTTTCGCTGTTAGCAGATGCCATTGACTGAGACAGGTTTGGGCTAAGGAGCCAAGGAATTCCGACAACTCAACTGGATGGTAGGAAGTATCCTCCATGCAGATGTTGCACGATGAGGCGCCTGCTCCGGCTACACAAGGTGCAGCTCAGGCCAATCACCGAATCATCCCATGTGCTGCAAAACGACAGATATAATATGAAAAGGCAGCGGTAGTTCGAAAGCCAAGAGTACCCCTCGGATGCTGATGTCTTTTAATGCCAGATTTGCAACTCGGGACTCGGGCAAGGATGCCTCAAAGTACATCCTGCATTGATTCAGATCGAAGCGTTCGAATTTAGCTCTCACATGGCCAAATCCAAAACCCGACAGGCCAGAAATGATGCCTCTGGAATGTCGTGGCCTCAGATCGTCCCTATTTTTTAAGTAGCCTGAAGAGCAGCAACCCACGCATCCAAACGGGTTCCGCTGGAGGCCAGCAGAACGCCACTCAGGTCCAGGAAGTTTCCTGCGATCTTCCTGAAATTTTGATGTGCGTGGTGAGAAGAGGGATGAGAATGACGCGGAACTTTGATGTATCCCAATGTTTCCTAAAGTATTTGGGTGTGAGATTAGTCCCTTCATTCATTCCAGAGCACCCACCATAATTGGTCAAAGCTACTTCCTTCTTTTTGACCAGCTGCGATGAAAGTTTTCCGGGGTTTCGCTGAATTTTTCCAAGGCTTCGCTCGGCATTCTTGAGCAGGTTTGGAACCAGCAAGCAGCAGCTGCATCATCCATCGCTGCCTTGCTCGCAGAGCAGGAGGCAGCAAGAAGGCACCACTGCTGGCAGTCTTTAGAATTTAGAAGACATGGCTATATCCACGCATTCCAGATGTTCTGAGCAAAATCTCTTGACTTTGCTTGTAAAGCGAGATTGCAGCCGCAGTCATGGAACGCAGAGTAGGGCAAATCTTTTGCGGATTGGCTTGGAGGCTTCCGACGCTCTCTGGGGACCCGGGACCCCCTAGTAGTACTGATGGCACATCGCCTTCACAGCCAGAGTTGAGCTTTGTGGTGGAGGGCGTAGGATCCTCAACTGGACAGCTGGACTGAGGGGACAGCAAGCAGGCTGAGCAGCCGAGCCACGATTCTAAGGCCGCGCATGGTCAAGGCTTTTCTGCGATGCCACCGGCGGCCAATACGCCAGATTTGCCCCTTGGCATCCCTTGGCGATGTTGGTTGTTTTCTGATGGACTGGCATTTGCTTGAAATCCAAAGTGAGTTACAAAGGGTTGAGGCTTTGAATGCTGCGAAGCAATTCTTTCGCCCAAAAAGAGATTCTTGATTTAAAGATCTAGGGGCAGTTGTCCTGGCTATGGGTGCCTCATGGTGCCCCTAAAGCTTTCGATTTGAAGGCTGTCAAAGTCCAGAAGGATAGGTCGTCCAACTTCGCGTCCAAAATGCTGTCAGGTTTCAAGTGGCCCAAGCGAAGGGCAAGGTACGAGATACAGCAGTTGTGGGATGGGAGTGATGATCTCTCTTGCGGCCATCTTTTGGACATTGCCACATTGCATTCAACCTGAGAAACTTTTGCCAAAAAGTGAACTATTTTCTGGTGAACTTAGCGTGGCCGGCACAGCTTCCTGTGCATGGTCTGGTCTGGAGCTGTACATGGGGGGTGTGAACGGAGCAGGGGCCATAGTGCACAGTGAGTCGCATGGTGAAAAACATTTCCAGCGCCTGTCCAAGAGCTGCTGATTCTCGATACAGACAGAGAAGCGGAAATACAGAACATACACACACACAAACACACATACAGACATACAGACACGTAAAGACATGCAGAAGAACATAGATGACTAGATGCCACGAGCTTTTAGAACAGTCCCGAGCCACAATGTGTGCAGGATTCCCTTGTGGATTTGGTAAAACAAATTCGTGCCCGAGAGATGCTCATACTGGATGCGTTGAGTCTGGGACCCTACAGCAAAGATGCACCCTACTGCAATTTCTTGTTACTTTTGCCATTTTCCATGGTTCGATGACGCTGCTGCAGGGAAGCGGGCAGAAGCGCAGAACGCGCATTGAACAACGCACGTTTTCGCAGAAAATTGACGGGCGAAACCTTGCTTCACAGTTTCACGAAACCTTGCTTCACAGTTTCAATTGCTCTGTTGATGTTCGTGCTTGGCTGGAAGCATTCAACAGTAGTTTTTCTGCCGCAGTTTTTGGCCCCCCGCAAGCATGACAACTTGGCCCAACAAGCTGGACCAGCAGATGCGGGAGGCGTGCACGATCTGTGGGATTGAAATGCAGGTGCGTCTTTCATGCACGCCTCAGGAACTGAAAAGAAGATTCGACAGGATCGAGGCGCTGATTTTGAAATGCCAAGCATCATCATCATCATCATCATCATTATCATCATCATCATCATCATCATCATCATCATCAATACCAGTAGTACTGCACAAGGTGGTGGCGGAAGTTTCAAAAATAGGAAACTTATTGGAGGAATCCACTGATGGACCGAAAGGTGGTTGGAGTCGTGTTTTTTGGAGTGGTTGCCATGGTTGCAGTGGTCACCTCACCACAACTGCTGGATGTAGTGTGGTGTAGTGCAGTTGTAGTTGTAGTGTGATGGAGTTGTAGTTGTAGCGTAGTGTCATTAGTGTAGTGTAGGTGTAGTTGCAGTTGCAGTTGTAGTTGTGGTTGTGGTGTGGTGTAATTAGTGTAGTCTAGTGTAGTGTACCGTAGTGTTGTGTACTGTAGTGTAGTTGTAGTTGTGTTTGTCGTTGTAGTTGTAGTGCGCTGCACTGTAATTAGTGTAGTGTAATGAAGTGTAGCTGTAATTGTAGTTGTAGCTGTGGTAGTGGTGGTAGTAGTAGTGGTAGTGGTAGTGGTAGTGGTAGTGGTAGTGGTAGTGGCAGTGGCAGTGGCAGTGGCAGTGGCAGTGGCAGTAGTAGTAGTAGTAGCAGTAGTAGCAGCAGCAGCAGGAGTAGTAGTAGTAGTAGTAGTAGTAGTAGTTGTAGTTGTAGTTGTAGTTGTTGTTGCTGCTGTCGTTGTTGTTGTGGTTGTGGTTGTGGTTGTGGTTGTGGTTGTGGTAGTGGTGGTAGTAGTAGTAGTAGTTGTTGTTTGTTGTTGTTGTTGTTGTTTAATAATGTAATCAAATTAGTGTAGTGTAGTGCAACGTAGTGTCGTTGTAATAATAATAGTAGTAGTAGTGGTGGTGGTGGTAGTATTAGTAGCAGCAGCAGCAGTAGCAGTAGCAGTAGCAGTAGGAGTAGCAGTAGCAGTAGCCAGCCCAAACGCGCCACCAGAGCCAGCCCAGTGCCATAGGTGCCACGCCTGCCACGCAAAACGCAGGTGGTCGTCGCCAAGTGCCACGCCTGCCACGTGACAAGTTGTGTGTGACAAAGTTGTGGGTGACAACAAGTTGTGTGTGACAAAGTTGTGGGTGACAAGTTGTGTGTGACAAAGTTGTGGATGACAAAGTTGTGTGTGACAAAGTTGTGGGTGACAAGTTGTGTGAAGGAGGCGGGGCGGGAGGAGGAGGACGAGGAGGAGGAGGAGGAGGCCCGGGATAGAGAATCAAAAACGAGAACCCCACACAAAGATGTGGGGAAAAAACTTAGGAAGTTGACATGTGGTGGCATGCACCAAACATAGCATGGCCACTGCGCAAGGAAGACCCGATGCCATTGCACAAATGGCTCAAGGGCGAGACGAAAAAGTCTTGCCTAGCAGCTGCGCGCTTCAGCTGCTGATCCACGGCTGGAAATAATGCAAAAATTTGGAAACTTTGGGGGTCGACAAGTCGACAATTTAAAGAAAGATCCGTATGTTGGTAGGTAGTAGAACATGGATGGTCAATATCACGAAAAATGTTGACAATCTCTGGCCCACAGTTTTTTAGTTTTGGAACTATGCAAAATCGGTTGGGCCCAAATCATGGTCCATTCAAGGTACAAAATCAAGAATTTCGCGGACGGCCATGTAGTCTGGCTGCATTTTAAGGATGGTGAACTCGGTTTCGAAAATAGAGCGACCCAAATCCAATGGTTGATCATCGCATTCCCCCAAAACTGCCATTGGGGTATACCGTATACCACAATTTTATGGTTCCACAATGACTGCACACATTTGCTGTTTTTTTTATAAACGTGAGGCACAGGGGGTACAAGTTGAGGAGATTGCGGAGAATTCGGATCTGTGGGTGAATGGGGTTCCTAATGGCCACCACGGTAAGCCCCAAGACGCCCCAAGTTTTGGGATGTAGCCCCTACAACTGGAACCACCTTTACTGTAACTGGAACTGCACCACTGCCCAGGAACTAGATGCCCCCGGAGCGCGAGTGATGTGCTGAGGGCTCAGTCTTCATGGCCTGTTCAGCGTCATGTCCATGTTCAAGTTCAGATATAGGAAGATTTCTTAAATGGGGGAACCCAAAACCATCCCAAAATTGGTTATGTGACATGAGAAGTGGCTTCGGGCTGTCCCTATTTATTAAGAAAACGTTTCAACTAGAAGGATCTGTTGAGCCACAACCTATGTTTCTTTCCAGAAGGATTGTTTATGCGTCCATCATCCTGATGCACTTCCAAACTTGATGCAACTGCTTGCGAAATGATTCTTGCGTCAGATTGCAACAGTCAAATTGTGCAGCAGTGGAAATGACAATCTTCAGCACCAAAGGTTACAAAATCTTCAGCACGTCTGGAGGCGACTTTGAAACCTCATACAACTTCTATCAGGAGGTCTCCCATGTAGAGAGGTCTTGTTCGTCATTTCGCGTCATGAGGGGCCATGACCTTTTTCAAACAGCCGCCTAAAGAAGTTCTTTTGAGTATGGACCCATAGATCCATAGATCTCTTTGAAACCTTTGAACGGCTTCCCCCCTGAACAATGAAGGGATTGCGGTGGGTCAGGAACAGCTCTTGGAGGAAAAAAATATTTTAAGAGCCGCAAAGACATCAGGCCCTGCCGTATTCTTAGGTGTTTTTTTCTCTACCATGATTTTGACCCTTTCCCTGTGCCTGGAATTGTCAGAATCCTGGGTTGCTCCACAGCACTACTGCCACATGTTTGGTCCTTCTGCCACTGTCTGCTGCCACGCTTCCAAGTCCTTGCTGCCACCGCCTACTGCCACGCGGTCTGCCGTGTTGCCACCGCCTACTGAAACACTTCCAAGTCACTGCTGCCATGCTGTTTGCCTCCTCTTGTGCTTCCAGCCCTATACCTAGATACTTTCTCCTCCATGATACCGACCCCGTTTCTATGGAAAAAATAACGAGAATTCTTTCCTTCTGCCAAGTTTGCGCCACACTTCTGCCACGCTTATGCCCCACCCCTGTCATTCTTGTGCCACACTTCTGCCACACTCTTCTGCCTCTTTGTTGCCAAACTTCTGCCACACTTTTGCATTGCTTTTTGCCACATCGTTTCACAATTTGTTTGCATGTTGTGTTCCACTCTCGCCTACGTCCTACGTCCCTCAACCCAACTGACTCTATTTTCACAAGCCCGCGCTCAAAAAAAACATGAATTTGTTGTTGCTACATGTGGCTTGGCTGACTTTCGTTTGTTGCAGTTTGAGGCTCAACAACTTGATTGGGTTGACCAGCGGCTGCTAGTATTGCTTTCCTTTTTCACCGCAATGAGTGCAGGGTGTTTTTGGGGCTACTTCACGGATGAGAGGCAAAGCATTTCACATGTTAAACCGTGAGCTTCCTAAAGTTGAAAAATGCAATCCCTTTGTGCTTGTCAGTGCTCAACCACTTGCCCGCTGTCAGCCATTTGGCAAATCAATAGTTTACATGATGTTATTCATATTCATTTGTTGTTTGATTTGCTCCGCCTATAGTACACTGAGTAAAACGCACGCCAACACAAAATTCGGAGTTCAATGACCTCCATGAATTCAAATGAATTGGTTCAAAAGAATTGTTTTGAAGTAAGCTAAGATATATAATTCTGTTTTGAGCTGACATGAAACTAGTTTAGAAGAATTGGCATTGGCTGGAACCCCAGTCTTGGCATCGGCCCTGGCAGCTGAGTCGGCAGTTGGATGGGAACGCCGGCCACCACATAACAGTGTGGCAGCCCCCACTCAAAGCCATGGGGGGAGCACTGGAGGGCGGTTGCAAGGTGACCAGACGGCGACTGGAAGGTGTGCTAGCAATGCCCAAAAGTTGAACGGTTCGAGGAGGGCCGGAGAGGACTGGAGGCATCCCATAACCCCCAGTGTCCACTGCGAGAGCTCCCAAGACCTTCTGGGACTGTGTGTGCGGGCTCCGCTACCACATCTGGCGGGCTCAACTGCCACGCATCGCGGGGTTAGCTGCAGAGTCTGGCAGGGTCAGCCGCCACGAGCGGCGGGGTCTGCCAAGCGTGGCGGGGGTCAACTACAGGGGTCAGATGCCACACATGGCGGGGTCAACTGCCACGGGTGGCAGTAGACCCCGCCACGCGTGGCAGTAGATCGTGGCAGTAGACCCCGCCACGCGTGGCAGTAGACCGTGGCAGTAGACCTCGCCACGCGTGGCAGTAGACCGTGGCAGTAGACCGTGGCAGTAGACCCCGCCACGCGTGGCAGTAGACCGTGGCAGTCCGCCACGCGTGGCAGTAGACCGTGGCAGTAGACCCCCGCCACGCGTGGCAGTAGACCGTGGCAGTAGACCCCGCCACGCGTGGAAGTAGACCGTGGCAGTAGACCCCGCCACGCGTGGCAGTAGTCCCCGCCACGCGTGGCAGTAGACCGTGGCAGTAGACCGTGGCAGTAGACCCCGCCACGCGTGGCAGTAGACTCCGCCACGCGTGGCAGTAGACAGTAGACCCCGCTACACGTGGCAGTAGCCACCTCCATGCGTGGCAGTGGGACCCGCAACGCGTGGCAGTAGATCCCACCACAGGTGGTAGCAGTTGACTTTGCCGGTTATACCGCGCACACAGTCCTAGAAGGTTTTGGGAGTGCTGGCACCGGCCTCTGGCTCTGGCTAAGTGGAGGCTTGCGGGATGCCTGTCACGGAGGTTGGAGCACTGCCACCCTGTAAGTGCCCTCCTCCAGCTGCCCTCCGCTAGCCCTGCAGTGCTAGCCTTCCTTTGAGTGGGGACTGCGACAGTGTTGCGGTGGTCGGGAATGGGTCACCCAATGCCTGGTTCCCTGCCACTTGGGCCGCTGCTACGGAAAGCGCTCTTCACCGCCTAAGTTCACCATTTTGTTCACAACTGGGCTCCTTGAAGTGACATTGTAATTTCCCAATGGATCATTGGGATCTGGAAAAAGCAAACCTTTTTTTTGAGACAAATAAAGTTGACACATCTAGCGAGAAGAACACGTGGACTGTGCACGTCATGTTTGCTGGTTTGTGATGACATCAACACAACAATTTTGGAAGGCGTGGGTTCTACCATCTTTAAAACACATTTTGAAACATTCAAGTTACAGTACACCAGCGCGGTCAAGCCATTGTTTGGCGGTTGAACGTTTGATCAAGGTTTTTTCTTCCAAACTGAGGTTGTAGTATTGTAGTGCAGATGTACGTTATGGTAGGGCTAAGACTCTGGAACCAACGCTTTCATGCCTGCAGTTTTAAATGGAAAGGCTTTGTTCGCCACATGGTATTTGGATAAACAAAGGATGTGCATTGGTGCTACTTGAATCAATTGTTTGGTCAGACCGTCATGCAAATAAAGGAAAAGCTGTGCGACGTTTGTGCTGTCTCACTTATTTAAGTTGTTTTCCATTTCCATCAGAAATTAGACATATATTACATATGTTTATTTATATTTATCATTATTTATTTATTTATTTATTTGTTTTTTATTTATGATTCATTTAACTAATAAAATATATATCATATCTGTATCTGTATGTGCAACTGTATTTGTATCTGTATATGTATATGTACATGTATATGTATATGTATATGTGTATTTATATATCTCTCAACCATGAACCCTAGGCCCTAGGTTCATCGCTTGCAGAATATTAAAAAAATGAGGCCTCACATTGTGAGGGCAAACATTAACACAGAAAGGCTGGAGGCACATTGGCAGCAATGATCGAACCTAAAAGAACGCAGTAAAGGTGAGAATGTAGCAGTAGTGCGGCAGCAGGTGTGGCAGTAGTACGGTTGTAACGTGGCAATGCCGTGGAAGTACACAGGCTTACTGGGACATTCCATGACATTCCTGCTTAGAAGATCATGCTCTAACCCTATACTGCCACGCTGAATTCTCTCTCTTTTCTTGTGGCAGCTCGCACCTTTGGCCGTGGCAGTATCCACTTTTTGTTGTGGCAGTTCAAGTGTTTTGGTCCATATGGTGTGTGGCAGGTGCCACTTGAGGGATTATATTCAAGCCATATCCCGTGACAATTTCTCAACAGAGGATCATGCTAGAGCAAACAGCTTGTATTGTCAGTTACTGTATTCCACGACTTTTTGAGACTTTATGACACTTTCTGGGTTCGGATGCAATTCGATGCCAAAAAGGAATCAAGTTCCAGTGACCCAAAATTGAAAGACGAGGAACGCCTTCACACTCTTGGGAGCTGCAACTATCTTCAACCCGACTTCCAAAACCCCAACCAAGGGATGGTCCGAGGTTCAACCAGCCGCACAAGAGTCACAAGAGTCTTTGCCTTGCTGCAGGCATCCTTTGATTGTTTTGCTCTTCATCGTTTCCCGGAAAAAACACTTGTGTACGAAACCCGTGGGCGGGCAGATGTTTGAAGGTTTTTGGCACTCGATCAGTTTGTTTTTGAGTGCGAGTCTGTGCAAGCGGCGCAGTGTTGCTGAGAATTCCAAAGACCAAGCCTATGTCCTTCCAAATGTCCTCACTTCCGGACAAAAACCATATAGGTCTGTCCTGGAGATTTTGCAGTTACTCCACATCCCGGAAGATTCTAAGACATCCTAAACTGGAGCAAGGCACACTCAGAGAGGGCTTGGGGCCCATCGTTCACCATAGTTCACCATGCAGGTCTGGCACTGCCGTGCACATCGACAGTGCCATTGGCACTGCGCTGCATTGGAGCAGCAGCATTGGACCCACCAGGCTGGAATCTGAACCTCTAACACAGAACGAACCATCTGAAGATGTCGATGTTTTCTGTCATTTTCGATTGTAAACCAGAAGGCATTACCGGCATTACCTACTTTTATATTATTTTCTTTGACCAGGTGCGACGTGCTTTACGGTTCCTACGAAGAAGCTTTCTTCTCCCAGGTTCCGGCGCTGGGGATTCCACCTGGATTTTGTTTCCATTTCTCCAAGGTCATTTAGGTGACGCAAAACCTTGGCTACCCCAGAAATCAGATGTCAGATCTACAAGCTTTGTAAATACCATGTGCGTTTTTCGTTTGTTTTCTTCCTGCAAACATTCTGCAGTCTACAAATGTGTTGAAACAAAAACTCAACAACTCCGCACATCATGATTTATTAACTTAGATGCACGTATATATACATATATATATAATATATATATATATGATGTAACTCAACTTGTTGATACAAAAATAGTTTGGCTAAGAGATGTTGCTTTACCCTTCGTTTGATGGGGAAAGAGAACATGAGGATGCATTTCATGACTGGGCACATCACAAGTCCTTATCCCATTAGCAAGTGGCTCAAGTGAGCCCCAAGTTCGTTCAACGAAATTTTCGTTGCCATTGCCTCTGCGGATGCGACAGCGTGGGGCCATTGTTTATCAGGATCTTCTTCGTCCTCCTGTTGGTGCCTTCAATTTCTGGATTTTTGCCTCTTTTGTTGCTGGAATTGCTGCATTGATTACTGTGTTGGAACTTTCAGTGTCTATGGATTCTGACGACCATCGGGTTACAGACCCGCCATTGCAGCCCAATGAATCCAGCGATGATGAATTTTATGGAGGACCACCTACACCTTGGAGTGGTGTAGTTCTTCATTTGTTCATCAACCTGACCCTGAAACAGATGGTGGCCCAACTTTTTCACCTGGATGTTGACACACCCGGACTTGTTCGGATTCTTTGCAATTCGACTCCAATTGATCTTCGGACCAGCATCGCCGGATTGGATTGGCCCAGAAGGGTTTACGTGCAAGTTTCCAGTTTTACAGAGTACCAAAGAAGCCTGAATCTTTTTCATCAGCTTCAACATGCCCCGGATGTCCCACCGCAAGAGCATCATGCACGAGGTACTCTTCCAGTTCACGTGTACCTTCATTTCATTTCAGTGTTCCGAGCTTTGCAGCAATATGATAATCTCATTAGCTCACAGTCCGTTGCGATCGAACGCTTAGAGAATCGACTTGCCAGACTTGAGACAGCTGTCGCCACCGGTGAGCCCATTTTGCTCACTCCCAGACAGCAACCAGAGCCATCGGTTTGGTTTCCCGATTCCCCACGTCGACAACCTTCGCCTGCCGCCTCCGAACACGATGCTTGATATCAGCTCAGTTTCAAAAGCCATCTTTCAGTTGGGGGGGCGTGCATGTCTTTTGATACTTTGAAATAAGGATGTGATTCGTGGCCATTTATCCTTGAAATACAAATGTCACCATGTCAAACTCACAGCCAAGTGACATTTTCTGATTGTTAAAGAACTGTCTGTGCCTCCTTTTGAAATGGCTCGAACAGGCCAAGTGGGACCGGAACCTCAAGGCCTGTTATCCCTTGATGGAAAGTTCAAGTGAACTTCACAAACACACCCAGTCAGATGAGATCTGTGGGACTGTCGGGTGACATCCTGCTTACTTCTTTTCCACGTGGAGTCCTGAGTGAATGCAAAACATAAAGTGGAAGAGAACTGAATTTGTAGACTTTAGGCCTTTGGAGACGAGTGTCCCAACCTGAGTTGTACTCATTTTTAGACCTTCAGTCTTTATCTACGTCAACCTCTCTTCCGATGGGCACGGGCTTCAGGTGAAGCCGTGGTGGTTTTGTCACGCCCTCAAATTTGCGAAGTGATATACGATTTCTTTTGGCATGTGCCGTGTGAGCCATCAAAACATCTGCACGAGTGTGCTCATGTGGGCGTGTGCCCCCCCTTTTCTCAATGTTGAGGTTAGACCGCAAGCTTGGACCTTGGGTGTCTTGTCCAAGTCAAGTCTTGGAGGCGCACAGATCGAAGATCACAACAGGCAGTTTTCTTTAATGGTGACTAAGTAGCCGTCCAGCGTGGCATGGTATTGACCAACTTTGTTTGAGACTTACAGCCTTTTTCGAGAGACAAGCCCTCCAATAGGCTCGTGAGGGGACGAACTTGCAAGAGGCTGGATTTCACTCAGAAACACTTTGGGTATACCCACTTAAGCTCAATGACGTTGTTTGGTGTGACCACACTACAATTGCTCATGTCATTCACTAATTGTAATTCCTCTCTTTTGACAGGTTTGAGATGCAGCCCAGCGGGCAAGCCGGTGCATCCAGCGCCAAGCTGGATAAGATCCGTGAGCGCAGAAGCCTGCCAATCGGGCAGAATGTAGGCACACTTGCCGTGATGCTGGCGACGCTCCTAGTTGAGGGGGGAGACTGGCTCCGTATGATTTCCAAATCGGAAGCTTGTCTCCACAAGATCTTCCGTCTGATAGGTACCCCTGCCTTCATTGACCTTTTTGTTGATTTCTTTCATGAGTTGGAAACTACGAAATTATGGTTTCGAAGCAACCGTGAAGATCACCCTCACACCTTCCGAAGCCAAGTGCAGCGTAAGCGCTCCCCACTGTATATGCAATCAAGTGTGGGGGTTCTCAGAACGGATCATTCACCTGTGTTCAAGGACCACTTAGACTCTTTCGCAAGCCTTGTTGATCACTTGATCATACGCTGCACAAAGCCCGACGAGGAGCAATTGTTTAAATATTCGTTGGAGGTCAAAATCTTGCTGGATTCGATTGTTGAATTTGTTGGGTGATCACTCCGGCAGTCAGACCTTTATGCAGATAACCAGGTGTGCTCATGCGTTTAACTAGCAAGGAGAGCCCTCGGCCTCAATCTCACAGGCCACCACCAGACAAAGCTCGATGCTTGAAAAGAAGCGGTGATGAATCACTTCTGAGAAATTTAGTCAGTTCTGTTAGTGCTGCCCTGAGCTGCGATGTTGTCAGACTTTTAATTTTATCTAGGCTCAATAATGGACTCAGAAAATTCTTTGCCTGACAAGGGAACGCCCTTGCCCTTGCCAAGCAACATAGACAGCCATGGCAGCACCAAAGAGAGCCAAAATCAAGGGCCCTTCTAACCGCCCTTGAGTGAAAGCGCTGAGAATTGTGAAGCTGCGCAGTCTGAAAGCTCGCCGCGTTTTTCGAGAACTGAAGGACCAGACGTAGTGGATGAAGACATTGACCTTTTTGGACTTGATGGTTACAGCCCTCCAGGTTGTAGCTCTGTGGCACACGAGGAGCCTCGTCTAGAGGAGGACGAGTTGACTGAGGCAGATAAGACAACTCTGGACTCCATCGTCCACCAAGCGATGCTCAGCGCCAGTTTGGCTGACGGGTTGTCTTTACCTTGGGAAACAGGAATCATGGCGACCATTTTTGGGGATGCTCCCATTGAGCAAGAACCTTCGCTGCCAATGATTGCGCATTCGCTCGATCACTCTGAGTTGGGACACGCGAGCCAACGAGGAAGACTTGAGGGCCAAGCGAAGCGGCAAAGAACAGAAACAAGCGCCAACAGACTTTACGAGAGAGCCATTTCCTTCAAGACTACTTTGACTGACCCCGAGATGGACCAGGCAAAATGGAGCAGGGCCTTGGAAAAGCTATACACTGTCATGGTGTCGGGACCAAGTAGTTTCACATTCACTGCTGTGGATGTCGCGAAGAATTTGCGACAGATACGTCTCCTCTGCGGGGCCAGGAGCCCGAACACGATAGCCAAGAGGGCAAACAGCCTTCTGCAGTTTTGCCTATGGCACAAGGGATACTACTACAGAAAGCATCCAATCCCTTTCGCACAAGGTGAGGTGGCCGACTATGTGTGGGAAAAACACCAGGATGGCATGACATACACTGGCCTCACTTCTTTTGTGGAAGCTGTGCATTTTGGCACTCACGTGCTGGGGCTCCCTGTGGCAGACCCAGAAATCCCGATTGTTTCAGCATTCGTGAAAAGCATCCTAGACAAAATGGCCCTATCCAGGCCGAAGAGAAAACAGGCACGGCCTCTCACAGTTTCAGAGGTGACATTTTTGGAATCAGTGGTGAAAGATTCATCGGTGGACTCCTTTGACAGATACGCTGCAGGAGCATTTTTGTTTGCTCTGTTTGGGAGGTGTCGATGGTCAGACCTGAGACATGTCAGCCACTTCTTCCTGGATGTGAACACCATAGATGGCAAGACCATAGGCTATATGGAGTTCGCAACTTTCTCTCACAAGACTGCAGCACAAGTTGCGAGGCATGGTATGCCTCTCCTATTGGTTGCTCCCATATGGGGTTTGACGAATCCATGCTGCTGGCCTCTTGAGTGGCACAAACTGAAAAAAAAATAGGGGGGTGCTTTGACGAGATCTTCAAGGGTCCAATTCTGCCGGCACCAGACAAGACCGGTAGTTGGAACAAACGAAGTGTTTCAGCTTCAGAGGCTACAAAGTGGCTGGCAGAGTTGCTGAAGCAAGGTGGATTCAACCTCGAGGATGTGACCTCGCACAGCCTAAAGTGCACGGTGCTCTCGTGGCTTGCCAAAGCAGGCACCGAGCCCCACCACCGTTTGGTGTTGGGACACCGCAGCACTCAGAAGGGCTCCCTAGAGACATACTCTAGAGACATGCTGGCTGCACCGCTTCGTGCTTTGGAAGATGTCCTCAGACGCATCAGAATGGGAGCTCTCCATCCTGATATGACGAGGTCAGGACACATTCAGGAACCCACCAAGCCGGACTGCGCCGAGAGCAAGCAGAACCATAATGATTCAGACAGCTCATCTTCTTCAGGCAACAGCTCTTCCTCCTCCAGTTCCTCTGGGACAAGCTCTGATGAAGAAACGGCAAGACACTTGCTTGCTGTTGGAGGTGCCGACCCTGACGTCCAGCATACCTCATCGGGGTTGGGAATCATGTACCAGCATGTGCTCAGCAAGATCGTGCATCTGAAACTCAAGGATGAGACCAAGATTTTTGTGTGCGGAGTCACTGCCACCAAAGACCATAATGTGGTGGAATCCACTCCTTTCCTAGAATACCGAAAGTGCAAAAGATGCACACGAGTCCTAGATGCAGCCTGAGCAGGTCCGAAGAGTAAAACCATAGCGACTTTTTGATGTTTGCGCTTGAACATCCGCCTTTACAGCCTTCACTTTTCTCATACGTCTTGTCAGCACCTTTTGGCCAAGCCAAAAAAAACTTTGGAACTTTGTCACGATCAGTCCAGAAGGTTGTACATTATAAGCATTGATTCAACGCATTCATTTGTTCATTTGTCCACCTTGGGAGAGACCCCAACCCGTTTGTGAGCCATGGCGGCCATGCCGAGGGAAGCTTCATCGCTCATTCACCCCACAGCCGCTCTACGAGATAGGGCAACCAAAGCGGGGTTGAGTGCGGAAGAAGTGCAGGCCATTTTGGACAACAATGTTACTTCAATCGCGCAGATGGCCTTTGCTATCACCCCACCTAGGACTTCGCCAACAGAACAGCAAGTCCGGGATTTTTACCAGGATCGGACTGCGATCAACATGGGAACCATCACCTCTACAAAGTTGTTGCTCTTCGAGTCCCACACCCTTGTGGTTGCCAACATCAAATCAGAGGTCGGACGGAAAGATGATGTGAGTTCCCACTGCGTCCTGCCCACCGCAGAACGGGACAGACGCATACAGGATCAGCAAAGACGTCTGACAGGGCTTCGGGTCAAAGGAGACAAAGAAGTTGCTTTTTCAGCCTATGACCTTGTTTTTACAATGCTCGAGAAGGACACCCTCACCTATTTGCACCCGGAGAAATTCGTCACCAGACGATTTGAGCTTGCTCAAAAGAAACCGCCAAAACAGTTGGCCCTTGACAATGAATCGCTCACCGTGAAAGAGCACCCGGTTGACCACACATGCTCAACTCGCACAGAGCTCGAGTTAGTGCAAGCATTCCGTCGAAGTGCTTTGGCCTTTGACTTGGTAGGCCTCATCTCGTATGAGACCATGAACTCATATCATGGTGAACCGTTGAGTCATTTACAAGAAGATGCTCCACCTGGGTACTCCAACACTACCGTGGTGCAAGTCCTTCGTGCAGATCGAGCCGCCTTTCTCTACTTGGCAGAGGTTATCACCAGCTTGAAGCGCACATCCAATGGAGATCTACCACTCGAAGTCGAGTTGCCCAAAGGTCCTTGTGCGGCCCAGCGTGAGCTTCCATTTGCTGCCGCTCACCTCACAGACGCCAAAAGCAACTCCAGCCGCCAAGACCAACCCCAGCAACCAGAACAAGCGCAAGCATGAGGACGTCAAACCGACGCCAAAAGATTCTTCTGGTGCTCGAGGACAGCCTTCTCGGAAAGGCAAAGGGAAGGGTAAATCCAAAACCAAGAGAGGACGCGGCCCAAACGTGCCGAAAGATCTAGTGGGCAAGTCCCTTGAAACAGCTGATGGGCGCAGGATCTGGTGGCCGTTTAATTCGTCTTCGGGATGTACAGACGCAGCTCTGGGTGGTCAGTGCACTAGAGGAGTCCATGTTTGCGCAGAACCTAGCTGTGGGAAACCCCATGGCATGCAAAACCACTCGTGACTCCCAGAGACCACACAAGAAGCATTTGCATCTGTGGAAGCAAAGTTGTCAGCCAAGTGTTCCAACAAGAATGCCCTTCAGCTTTTTGCACTTGAAATTTTTGCCGGCACTGGCCGACTTACCGCCTCTCTGCGGCAACTTGGTTTGCGAGACTCGTTTGGGGTCGATCACATCATGTCAAATCATTTGGCTGCACCAATTTTGCAATTAGACCTTCTGAAACCAGAATGCCTTGCATTATAGAGAAAATTATTCGAGAAGAAGCTTGCGTTTATGTCCACTTTGCACCCCCTTGCGGCACAGCCAGCAGAGCCAGGTTCATCAGACGTAAAGGCCGATACAATCCCCCAGTCCTCAGGACAGATGCAGAGCCTAACGGGATACCAGGTCTTAGCCCTACCAATGCAGCAAAGGTTGCAGCCGCCAACAAGCTATATGAAATCACTCAAAACCTGTGCCGCCTATGCCATGACCTCGGCGTGCTTTATACTGTGGAGAACCCAGCCCGAAGCTTTATGTGGAACACAACCCACTTTGCACTTTTTCTGCAGGAAGTACCTCATTTCCGTACGTACTTTCACCACTGCATGTACGGTTCGGCCAGACGTAAGCATACCTGTTTGGTCCGCAATATAGCTGCAGTCAACAGTATGGAGCTCCTTTGCAACAATGAGCATTCCCATGAACCTTGGGGCCACACCAATACTGGCTGGGCAACCGCCCAAGGAACTGCATACCCGTGGCCACTGGCTAGGAAACTAGCCGCCCTGGTTGCCTTACACCTGCAAAGTCATGGAGTACAATGTCCGACTCCAACCTGCCAAACATGCCAAGGAACTCGATTGCATTCGACAGCAAATCCATGCTCAGCACTCAGCCACAGGCCTTCCATGGGTCAGTGAATTTTCGCACACCATGCAAATTCCAGCACAAGACCCAGTGCCATCCAACGCAAGACTCCTTACCACTCCCATTTTGGGGGACATCGCGAGGGTAGGATACAAAACCATTGGGTTTCATCGGAGTCCATAAGAATTTATGGACCAGGCAATTGCCTCCGGACACCCTGGACAAAGTGCAGACGAACATGTCAGAACATTCGCCTCAAGCGGTTGCACAGCATAGGTCTGAAATGTTACGCAAGATGATTTCCCGGTCATCCCAACTGGCGGAGCAAGAGCAAGCTCTCAAGCGGAGCATGTCGCTCAGGCGCCAGAGAGTTCTTGGAAACAAGCGGTTGCTTCTTTTTGGGGAGCTGCTTGCCGAGGCGGGTTCAAAAGACGCCTCACTTGTTGAAGACATGTGCAACGGCTTCGACCTGACAGGGAAGCTACCTGCTTCCAACCACTTCAGCCAGAAGTTTCGCCCAGCTGCCCTGCCTACTGAAGCGCTCCGGGGAATAGCCGATCGAGCCAAAGATGCACTTTTAGCTAACGTAAGAAGTTCGGGCGATCAACTGGTGGATGAAGGCGTTTTGAAAGCCACGCTGAAAGAAAAAGAGTTGGGATTTCTCCATGGGACCATAGACGCTTCTGCCATTCCTCGTGGGGCCACATTGACCCGTCGTTTTGGGGTGTTACAGAAAGACAAGGTAAGACCGATCGATGACTATAAGGCCAGCTTAGTGAATTCTGCGTGGAGGTCGTCACTCTGCATGGGATTGACCACATAGCATGCTTGGGCGCAGCATTGATGTCAGCCGCTCAGAAGAAAGGGATTCGTTTGCAACTTGTCGCAACATGCTGGGAGCCGCAGCCTGTGAGACTGACTCCTACATAGTGATTTACAACCCCCCAACGGGGAACCCAGAAATATACAAGCAAGCGGTGTTGCCCTTTGGATCCATCCCTTCGGTCACGGCCTTTCTTAGATGTGCACTTGGTATATGGCATGTTGGAAGCAGCCTTTTGAAATTGGCATGGACTTCGTACTTCGACGACTTTTTGAGCATGACACCTGCTTGTTTGGACAAACACACCGAGTTGTGTGTGTCTACGTTGTTTCAGCTCTTGGGCTGGAGGCTCTCCACAGACAAACTTGCGCCATACGCTCAATGCTGCAAGGTTCTGGGCGTGGAAGTAGACCTTTGCAAGAGTCCGTTAGGCCTGATTGATGTCAAGAACACCGAAGCCAGACAGTTTGAACTGATCTCTTGTATGCAGGAGATTCTCTCTAAAGGGACCCTCTCCCGCGCTGAGGGGAGAGACTGCGTGGCAGACTACAGTTCGCATCCAACCAGCTGTTTGGACGTCGCTTTCGCAACTGTCTGAAGGACTTGAACGTCCATGTCTCCAGAGGTTTCCGCACGTTGTCAAAGGAGCTTGCAGAGTCCTTGGAGCTCATGGTAGAACTCCTCACAGAGAATGCCCCTCGACAAGTTGACATCAACTTTTTGGACTGGGTGCACATTTACGTTGACGCTGCTTTCGAACCCACTGGATATTCTGGGGTTGGAGGCTTGATTCTCAACTCTTCAGGCCAATGCCTAGGATGTTTCAGTGAAGAGGTTCCTCCACTTCTGGTGGAGAAGCTTAAGAAAGAAGACCAGAAGACGGTGATTTTTGAGCTGGAAGGATTGGCGATAGCTGCAGCCTTGAGTACTTTCAGTGAGTTTGCCAAAGGCAGGAGGGTTGTGATTTTTACAGACAACCAGAGTGCTCAGTCTTGCCTGATCAAGTGCAAATCAAACAATCACCATATGAACCTCATAGTTCGTTCTATATGCTCTTCAGAAGAGAAGCTAGGTCTGGTAACTTGGGTTGAGCGAGTGCCCTCACAATCCAACCCAGCTGACGAACTGTCCAGAGTCAAGATGTACGAATACGCAGGAGTCAAAACCAAACAAGTTGACCTGCTCCAATATTGGACAGCAGGCACAGAGGAAATGAACGTAAGTTGGTCTCAAGTGAAAGGGGGAGAGACGCGAGACAACATGTGAACCAGAACGCGAATCCCCTCGGTCAAAAAGAAAGAGTTGTGTGTGCTCTGCATGTGGTTTCAGCATCTACATGTTCGTCCAACATCACTGACCACAAAATAAGATGTAACTCAACTTGTTGGTGAAATTGTATTTTGACTAAGAGATCTTGCTTTACCCTTCGTTTGATGCGGAAAGAGAACATGAGGATGCGCATTTCATGACTGGGCACATCGCAAGTCCTTATCCCATTAACAAGTGGCTCAAGTGAGCCCCAAGTTCGTTCAACGAAATTTTCGTCCCAACCCTTTCACTTCGTTCATTTTCCCACCCAAAACTTCCAATCGTGTGATTGGGCTTCAGCGGACAAGTGTCAACATGTGAACCAGAACGCGAATCCCCTCGGTCAAAAAGAAAGAGTTGTGTGTGCTCTGCATGTGGTTTCAGCATCTACATGTTCGTCCAACATCACTGACCACAAAATAAATATTATATATATATATAGAGATAGTTGGTTGCACAGCTTCCAACGAACCTTCAACGTTCTATTTATGTCGGAGCATATAGGTTTTCCTGCTTCAGTTTCTTTGCATCACTTTCCACATTTCGTTCCTTGCCTATTTGCCGTTACGACTTACTGAGGATCGAAAACATGTTGAAAACAGTTGGACTTGCGAACTAAGTTGCTTTGTGTGTGTGTGTGCCTGCTTTCTTCTGTGACTTTTGGCATTGGGTTGGACCTTGCAATCAATATACATATTATACATTATTATACAGTATTCATGTAAATAAATAAATAGAAACATATACATACATATATGTATATACATAGATAAGAGTAAATCAAACAAAAAACATTTGTATATACTGTGTATATATACGTATATATATATAGAGATAGATAGATAGATAGATAGATAGATAGATAGATAGATAGATAGATAGATAGATAGATAGAGATATGAATACATATTGGGTCGAGCACAGCGTACTTGGCCAGCATGCATTCCAGGTGCAGGTTGATCCTTTGAAAACGTCCGTGCCTGAGCTTGTGTGGACCTTTTCCGGATGTTATCTCTCGCCCAAGCGATCGATTGGAAGTGCTGCCACAAAGTTGTACGCAAGTTTGCTCGTCGGAAAACTGGCACTGGTTGCCCATGGAACGCCATTGGCTCAAGAAACCCTGCCCAAACACCAAGTCGATTCGACGCACTCGTGATCTCAATCATCTCGTAATGTTGTCCAATTCGCCCATTTCGGCCATGGTTCCACTCTCGCTCTTCCTGGTGAGTGTGAGCCCCATCGCAGCTGAACTCGAGCCTCTCGAGGATGGCTGCTTGTTGCAGAAAACCAAGGAGCAACAACTTTTGGTCAAGGAGGAGCAACTACGTGATACTCAGACTCCTGGCTATTCAGAAGTGTGCGCACCCAATTGCTATTGCAGATCATTCACCGACCCGCCAAACGGGTATGTGAGTAGTATGCAAATTGCTGATTGTGCAGACAAATGCTTCGAAAGTGACTTTCCAGGATTCATTTTTTCTGTGGATGACAATGGTGCTACAGGTTGCCGGTGCTGCCGCGACGTGACCGTGGACGAGGAGAGTGTTATACGAAGTGGTAACACCAACTGGAAAATGTACGCATTTGGTGCCTCTGCCTCAGCGATGGGTGACCCGCACATCACTACTCTTGATGGCAAGCACTACACTCTTCTCAGCCAGGGTACCTTTTCCCTCTGGCACTTCTCAGGCCTGGAGACGGAGTTGCATTCAGAGTTTGGCACCAAGAAACTCCCAATCGATTGGCAAGTGTACGTGCACTATTCGGGCCACCAGTCCTTCACGAAGGGCTTGCTTCTCATCGATAAATCAGGAGGATCCATCCGACAAGGTGCTTGAGATCACTTCGCAGGACTGCAAGTGGAAAGCACGGAAAGGAAACGGAGACTGGAAAGTGATCGACAATGCAGAGCTCTCCATCCCAGATGGTAAGGACTATGTGACAGGCTTCGACCTCGGCACCGTGGGTCCTCGCGGTCATGGTGGCCATGGCTTTCCCAACCGTGTTCGCTTCAACATGTACACCAAAAATGGCAAGTCGGACATAGCAGTCATGAGTCTCAGTTGCAGGCCAAGCCACAACATGAATCTCCAAATCTCAATGAGACGCCAGAGCAACCAAAAGTTTGTAGATGGCGAGCTGAAGGTTTCACGGAAGTCGCTGTCTACGCTGCAGACCTCCACCGACTTGGAATTCAGCATGGATAGCAAGTGGCAAGAGCTCGGAGGAAGTGGACAAGCAGCCTCGTACTTTCAGCTCGTTGACACAAATCAAACATCCAGTTCCGCATTCCAATCGCAAGCCTGCGGTGATGCTGAAAAAGGCTTGGCGAAAGAGACTTGTTCCAAGCACTTGGGGGAGGCACATGGCACGCCTTTCTTTGAAGATTGCATTTATGATGTTTGCCATGGCGCTGGCGAGATGCAAGCAGAACTTGCTGCAGAGCTTCTCGCTGCGACCAAAGCTGATTAGGACGATTTCTGGGACGTGCGGATTTACCATATGATTTACTCGCACGTGTCAGGGGCAGTTCTTTCCCTTCAGCACCTTCCCATATGCGGTCGGTTTGCATGATTGCCCTCGGTGAAAAAGAGCTAGTTTCTCAACAGATGTGGTGAGACACAAGATGAACTGGGCACTTCTGAAGTCTGTGCAAGTTCCAAGTTCCAAGATGTTCCAAGTGTCCCACTTTGGGGTGCCATTTTTCACGTGTGGCGTATGCAGCAACCGACACCATGCCTGAGGTGGACTCCGCAGTAAATCAGCAGGACTGACATGTCATGTTGGGCCCTACCTGCAGATATCTACAATGATGCGTTTTCTTTTCTCGTGGTTGCAACTGCAACGGTTGCAATCCCAGTGTAATATGGTTTTGTCTGAAAATAGGACATGCCCAAACCCAGTGGTTCATCGTTTTCCAAAAATGCCGGGATGTGTACCTGGTGTAGCTCATTTTCAGACGTACACGCGCACACATTTTTTTCGTGTATCAATATGGGATTTATGGGGGAAGCATCAAAACAGCCTTGCAAACGGCCATTCCAAGTGATGCTTGGTTGAACCGTGGACTTCCGGGGCCACGGCAGGAACAGTGCGGTCCATTGCCCCAGCTCTGCAGTGGCTTGATGGATCTAACAGGGGAACAAGATCAGTGATGCTTCATTTGGCGGAAATTTTAAAGCATTCTTAATTGGATTTGGATGGATTTGGATGTTGGCTTTGGGCCTACAAAGAGGGGATATGACCATCGAGTAAAAATATCCCTGAGGTGGTCGTCAATTTGGGAACCCGTGTGGTTGGATGATCTTTTTTGCTAGAAATGATCCAAAATTTTGGAAACTTTGGGGGTCGACAAGTCGACAATTTAAAGAAAGATCCGTATGTTGGTAGGTAGTAGAACATGGATGGTCAATATCACGAATGATGACAATCTCTGGGCCCAAATCATCGTCCATTCAAGGTACAAAATCAAGAATTTCGCGGACGGCCATGTAGTCTGGCTGCATTTTAAGGATGGTGAATTCGGCAACCAAAATCCAATGGGGTATACCACAATTTGATGGTTCCACAATGACTGCACACATTTGCTGTCTTTTTTGATAACCGTGAGGCACAGGAGGTACAAGTTGAGACACGGGGAGAATTCGGATCTGTGGGTGAATGGGGTTCCTAATTGCCACCACGGTAAGCCCCAAGTTTTGGGGATGTAGCCCCTACAACTGGAACCACCTTTACTGTAACTGGAACTGCACCACTGCCCAGGAACTAGATGCCCCGGAGCGCGAGCGATGTGCTGAGGGCTCAGTCTTCATGGCCTGTTCAGCGTCATGTCCATGTTCAAGTTCAGATATAGGAAGATTTCTTAAATGGGGGAACCCAAAACCATCCCAAAATTAGTTATGTGACATGAGAAGTGGCTTCGGGCTATCCCTACTTATTAAGAACTCGTTTCAACTAGAAGGATCTGTTGAGCCACAACCTATGTTTCTTTCCAGAAGGATTGTTTATGCGTCCATCCTGATGTACTTCCAAACTTGATGCAACTGCTTGCGAAATGGTTCTTGCGTCAGATTGCAACAGTCAAATTGTGCAGCAGTGGAAATGACCATCTTCAGCACCAAAGGTGACAAAATCTTCAGCACCAGGGTGGCCAGTTTTACGAGTTGTGGCCTGAGTCATGGTCTCATGGGTCAACATAGGTCAACGTTTAGGAGGCAGCTTTTGGTCATTCTTTGTATTCATGCAGCCATCCATTTTTTTGGGGACCAGCAATTTGATCCAGACCCAAGCCCAGCGCAAGATGAACAGCGAATCACATGATTTTGGCACAGCGGTTCGACCTGCAAAAACATACTTCAAATCGGACCTTCAACTCCTTGTTCTGTTTGTGCGACGTCTGGAGGCGACTTTGAAACCTCATACAACTTCTATCAGGAGGCCTCCCATGTAGAGAGGTCTTGTTCGTCATTTCGCGTCATGAGGGGCCATGAAGTTTTTCAATCAGCCGCCTAAAGAAGTTCTTTTGAGTATGGACACATAGATCCATAGATCTCTTTGAAACCTTTGAGCGGCTTGCCCCCCTGAACAACAAAGGGATTGCGGTGGGTTAGGAACAGCTCTTGCAGAAAAAAACATATTTTGAGAGCCGCAAAGACATCAGGCCCTGCCGTATTCCAAGTTCCTGACCCAAAATTGAAAGAGGAGGAACGCCTTCATACTCTTGGGAGCTGCAACTATCTTCAACCCGACTTCCAAAACCCCAACCAAGGGTTGGTCCGAGGTTCAACCAGCCGCGAAAGAGTCTTTGCCTTGGTTCAGGCATCCTTTGATTGGATTGCTCTTCATCGTTTCGCGAAAAATCATTCGTGTACGAAACCCTTGGGCCGGCAGATGTTTGGGGGTTTTTGGCACTCGATTCAGTTTGTTTTTGAGTGCGAGTCTGCGCAAGCGGCGCAGTTTTGCTGAGAATTCCAAAGACCAAGCCTATGTCCTTCCAAATGTCCTCACTTTCGGACAAAAGCCATACTGGTCTGCCCTGGAGATTTTGCAGTTACTCCACATCCCGGAAGATTCTAAGACATCCTAAACTGGAGCAAGGCACACTCAGAGAGGGCGCAAGGGGCTTTATGGGGCTCCGGGCTTGACCCGGACCATCGTTCACCAGGAGCAGCATTGGATCCACCAGGCTGAGGCGCTCTAAGGGACCTCAAGGATGTCGAGGTCGAGGGATGGCAGAATCTGAACCAACACAGAACGAGCCATCTGAAGATGTCGATGTTTTCGGTCATTTTCGATTGTAAATCAGAAGGCATACCTACTTCTTTATGATTTTTTTTGACCAAGTGCGACGTGCGAGGTTACGCAGAAGCTTTCTTCTCCCAGCGTCAG